CCCATTTTCGCCAAAAAATTGGACGATCCATATGGGAGCATAGCAGTAACAACTACACCCAATTTCAAACATGTGGGTCAAACGGTTCCTGAGTTATCGTTGACCGAAACCAAATGTTGACGGACGGACGGACGGACGGACGGACGTACGACGGACGACGACCCATGGCAATAGCTCAACTTGACGATGTCAGGGTGAGTTAAAAACAGTCGGTTTTCGCGCGCCACGCCTGCCCACCCTCCCGTACACAGACGGCAAGCATGCGAAGGCACGCCGACGCCCACCATACTAACCCTGGTCGGCTGGCCGGCAAACCCCGGCTATTAATTAACACTGCACTCTAGCTGAATCGACAAATCTATCGGCGATTCGGTGATCTATCATCGACCGCGCTTGCGAGATCGCGCGTGAACGGATCGCCGTGCGCATGCGCGCGCGCGCTTTCCCGGGGCTCCCCCTTTCTGTCCCAGTTGCACGCACGCGCCACTGGGACAGAAGATCGCTCGCGATTTTCCACTTCGGCAGCGCGGTGTTGATTGCTTTCCATCGCATCGCCACCGCTCAGATTGATTGCGGAATTGTCTTCGAGTACGTTTCGACTTGTCGGCGCCGCTGCCGTCGACTCTCACCGCGCATCGCCGACACTGAGAGCGTGCGAGAGCCGTACGGCTTACAGATAAATGGATTTCCCGCGCAACATCCATCCATCCGTCCATCCATCCAGCCGAATCTCTGACGCGTGGCAAACCTATTGATACGGGGGCTATGGCGCGGAAGGGGCCGAAGTGCTGGCTGAATACGGGGCGCTGTTACGTTGACTGTTATCGCGTGCTATAGGCTCTGGGCCCGTGTGTATCGATGAATAAGGGATGAGCAGACGAAGTCGGCATGTCATGCATCGTGAATGCTCGCTAGCTGCCGGTGTTTCCCCTTCCGAGCCTCGTCCCCAACACACGCGCATCGTGTAATACAAATGTACGGGGATATATGACCCAAGGCACTGGCACACGTTTTAGTAATAAAAAGGCTAGTAAATAAACACGAATTGAAATTATAATCAAAGTCTTAATGTTTTTCTTGACTTTATCGTCCAATAATTCCACTATAATAACCACTCTAAATACCGTTCAAATGCTCCTATGCACCGCACTGCCCCACCGCACGCACACCACTGTACACGAACACATGATACAATTCGTCTTTATTTACTATCATTATATTATTGAAACGGACCATGTGCATGCCCGTGTCCTAAAGCACTTCGCACGAATAACCAACGACTCGATAAAATGCTGAACCGTAGTTGTAACCGATGACCGTATATAACCAGAAACGAATAATCAATTCATAAATTTGCTTGGCTTCCAGCTAACCCCAGTTCCTACCCGCAGCACACGAATGACCAATAGATAAATTAATACGAGGACGGTTGATCGCCAAACCAGACATAAATAATAAAACAGTAGTAAGTAAATCACAATAAATGAAAATCGAATAGCATGCGCTTCGATACCTACTGAAAAAACCTATTGCAAGTACAAGCACAAGAACCGCATGTTTTACCACTTACGGTACACTACGCACACAACACAAAAGTTGCACCTAGGCCCTACATAAGTTCAAAATAATTCGCACGCGCCCATCGCACGTTACGTAACGCCGTATTCATCTGCGATTGGGAACCGCGGAAGTGCTAAAAAATAGCAGCAGTAAAAAAATAACAGCGATAAAACTGCACCGCCTAAATCAGCAAGTCTCCTATGGCTTGCCCGTACCGCTCCTCGACATTTTAATACGCTAACGATTTTAATCACATCAACATCTGGTGCGATTAGGTCCTACAGCGGGGGCTGTGTCCTATTCTCTAAACACGCGGAGGAACCGACGGGTAGTTAAGCGTATAGTTTACGGGTTTGACGTTAACGTAAGACGACGGCGAAGTTTGTGCATACGAGCGAGGGAGTGACTGACACGAAGTATTCGCACGCACAATGCGTAATTCCTAGCAGACCCCAGCGATGTCAGTGTGTTAGGCCACGGGCACACGCACGCGACAAGAGCAAGCATGGCGGGAACGCATCACTGTCACCTGTCCTACGTTACGCGACTGAGCCTCCGATGTCTGTTCGGCTACAGCCGTAGCAGGCGACGTCACAGCCTGTTCTGCTAGCATCTATGACAAATACGACATACGCATATACGCTCTCCTATGACACTATTTGTCATAGGAAGATTCTTCCTATGACAAATATTGTTGTATGTGTTGTGCGCATCATAGGAGTTTAGGAGCGCTATTATGAACGCAGGCAGTGAATTTCAGCTGTAAAGCGGAACGAAGTTGACTCGCCAATATTTGGCATAGGAATAAATTCCTATGACAAATAGTGTCATAGGAGAGCGTAAATGTATATGTCGTATTTGTCATAGATGGAAGCAGAACATGTTGGACGCCAGCAAGCGTGACGGGATAAACCCATCCGGAAGCGCATCACGCAAACGCGTCCCCTTGGGCGTGACCAAGGACACGACTAAGACAAAACCAAGGACACGACAAAAGTTGTGACCAGGGACACGACCAAGGATGTCACCAAGGAAACTACCAAGGACACTACCAAGAATGTGAGCAAGGATGCAACCAAGGAGACAAACAAGGATGTGACAAAGGACATGACAAACACGACCAGGGACATTACTAGGGATGTGACGAAGGACACAACAAAGGAGGCTTACATGAACACAATCAATGACACTCTCAAGGAAACGACCAAGGAAACGATCAAGAACACGACCAAGGAAACGATCAAGGACACGACCAAGAGCACGACCAAGGGCACGACAAGCGGCGCGCGTCGCCTGGTGACACCGTACCTTGAACTTGAGTCGTATGCGATTGTTGGAGATGCTCGGGTTGAGCTTCTGCACGAGCTCGACCACCTCCTGCTCGTCCAGGTAGCTGCCGTCGGTGCGTGACGTCACCGCCGTGAACACCTTACTCAGCCAGGTGATGGCGGCGGCACAGCGCGAGTTAAGAAACGACGACGACAACAAGATGGGCACGGGTATCCACTCCCACTGACATAGAGCACACGCTCGCGCACGCACACACACGCACTCCCGGACACGCACGCTGACACACGCATGCACACCACGCACAAGCGCAGAGCACACGCACACGCACGCACGCACGCTGACACACGCGTGCACACCACGCACAAGCGCAGAGCACACGCACGCTGACACACGGGTGCACACCACGCACACGCGCAGAGCACACGCACGCACGGACACGCACGCTCGCACGCGCGTGCACCGGTTTTATGGCTTCAAGTAAAGAGAAATGACTGACTAGTGCAGGAGTTACTCTTGGCACTCAAGACGCGTGTTGACAACTAAAATATTGATGCTACACATATATAAGGTAAAGGCATTTGTGATATCTACACTACAGGGAGCTAAGCTGCGTAATTTATCGTTGCATTATAAGCTATGTTGCGCGTCCCCCCCCCCCACCCCATCACTACCCGCCGCCCTTTGTCGTAAACATCATGCATTCCTAGAATATGATCTATACCGATGACAATATGGGAAGCCGGGCCAGCATGTAGCTCTCAACTGTCGCCACCTCATAAATAACCCGCTCGGCTGAAATTGCGGCTGCCCCCGCATAACGCGCTTCATACTGTTTTTCTCTCACCGTCTGGCCCCGCAAAGGACACATAAAACACACCCTGCCTCATTTCGCTCGAATTGGATTGCGCTTTTCAGTAATGCCTTCGGACACGGAGGCAACAAGGCGAAAGTGATAAAGTAAGGCTAATGATCGCGTCGGCGACTTTCATCCGGAAAGGATTGTCCGCACTCGTCTTCGCTCTACATGTATATAGGACGTATACTCATTACAATTTCATCGAGCGGAAAATGCCATGCGTTTTAAGTCTAATTTCCAACAAAGAGACCCTTGAATGCGAAACGCGCTGGCAGCGAATCAGGAAATGTCAGCGAGCTGCGATGAAACTATTCACTACGTTCTCCCTCCCGGCGGGTTGGCTTATATATAATAGCAGTCCGGAAAGAAAAATTTCGCGGACCAATTCCGTAATACTGATTCGCGAGAGCAAGGAGGAGAGGAGCAGAATAATGCGCGTCTCTTCAAGAGCAATCTTCAAACACGGCAGGATTTCGAGAGTCCAGAAGAAAAGATGTTTCTGAGAAAAGTGGCGAGCGGCGCGAGAGAAAACGTAACTACATGACGCCCGGACGCGACGCGCCGGCCGTCACCACAATCACTCACGTCACACATCATGTCACGACACGTCACACATCATGTCACGACACGTCACACATCATGTCACGACACGTCACACATCATGTC